GAGATGGTCCAGAAGATACCATGGTCCTGAGGAAGGAAGGCTGTTCCATAACTTCAGGAGCATTGTGGTGGTGCAGTGGTTAGTAGTCCTGCAGGCTACTTCTGCTGACAGCTGGCTGCCTGCAATTTGGTAGTTCAAATCCCACCAGGCTCAAGGTTGACTCAGCCTTCCATCCTTCTGAGGTGGGTAAAATGAGGATCCAGATTGTTGGGGGCAAGAGGCTGACTCTGTAAATTGCTTAGAGAGGGATGTGAAACACTGTGAAGCGGTATATAAGTCTAAGTGCTATTTATATTGTGTTCCCTGATTTCATGCGGCAGTGAGAAACTGTAATATTCTTCCCTGAGATGTTATTGGATGGGACAATTCCGAACAAAGGAATTTAGCAAAAAGATGGCTGGGCTTTGTAAGTAAAAACCAGTAAAATGTCCCCGTGATCCTACTGGTAGCATTTGAAGGGGGGACCATGGGCACCTGGCCTCTAGTGGCATGTGGATCAGAGCTCACCCATCAGCCCCCCTCCTTCCTCCCCTCCCCTCCTGCAACTCCCTCCAGAACCTCCATGTCAAGAGCACTCTGGGAAGAGGAAGGCACCCAGTCCCTACCTCCTGGCTGGGGGGAGCAAGAGGGGCTGCCTCTCATCTCACTGCCTTGCCCCTGCTAAGCTTCCATGTCAAACTATGTGAAGAAGTGCAGAGATGAGCCTGAAGGCAGCACAGAAGAGCAAGGACGGACAATAGAGTCCTAGCCAAGGGAAGGAGTGAGAAACACACTCAAGATTGTGCCACCTTGATTCACTTTGCTACAAGAGGAGACAGAGGGAAACTCTGGTGGGCTTTCAACCTCCTGTAATTACACTTCACAACAATACAGGAACCTTCCTGTATTCCCCTTATAGCTTCCTGGTCTGCCCTACCTTGGAGGCCTGACAAAATACGGACACCACTCCCCTCTACCAGGGAGGCGATGTGACCAAAACTGCATCCCCAAACGTCACCAGAGGCCCAAACCTCACTCCAGCTCTGCTTCCTGGTTCCCCTCTCCGGTTCCAGAAAGCAGCCCCCCTCCCCCCCCACATCATTTGCCAAGAAGACAGCACTCCCCATGGCATCTCTCTACACGCAAAGCAGAAGGAATCCTTCAAGCGGAGCCAACGGTGAGTAGAGGGAGCCCTCGGTTTACAACTGGTTGATGAGCAAGCTTTCAAAGTTACAACGGACTTCGAAACAGCTACTCACAGCCGGTCTTCAGAGTTATGATTGCTGCACCCTTCCCCGTGGTCGTCTTATTGCCACTTCTGGTGCTTGGCAACCGGCTTACATTGGCAACTGGTGGCAGCATCTCATAGTCACGTGGCTGCAATTCACAACGTTTTTTGCCATTTTCCAGGAGAATGGCAAAAAAACAACATACTGGATTCGCTTAACAACTATGTGATTTGCTTAATGACTGCTATTTATTCATTTATTTATTTATTTAATCTAATTTTTATACCGCCCTTCTCCCGAAGGACTCAGGGCGGTGCACAGCCAAAGATAAAACAAATACCCATATAAAATTTAAAAACAATTTAAAAACACATTAAATAATTTGGCCCCGATGTCATTAAAACAAAAACAACCCATTAAAATTAATGTTTAGGCCAACCCAGCTTGTTGGAACAATAACGTCTTGAGGGCACGGCAAAAGGTGTGCAAGTCAGGGATCCTCCGTATCTCCGGGGGCAATTCATTCCAGAGGGCGAGTGCCCCCCCCCCCCAGAAAGGCCCCCCCCCTGGGTGTCGCCAGTTGACATTGTTTGACCGACGGTACCCTGAGGAGTCCCTCTCTGTGGGAGCGCACTGGCCTGTGGGAGGCTATCGGTAGCAATCTCGTAAGTACCCAGGTCCTAAGCCATGGAGAGCTCTAAAGATGGTAACCAACACCTTGAATCGCACCCGGAAGACCACCGGGAGCCAATGCAGCTCGCACAGGAGTGGTGTTACATGGGAGCGCCGTGTCGCTCCCATAATCACCCGCGCGGCCGCATTCTGGACCAGTTGGAGCCTCCGGGTGCTCTTCAAGGGGAGCCCCATGTAGAGAGTGTTACAGTAGTCCAGATGGGAAGTGACAAGGGTATGTGTGACCGTGCGCAAGGAGTCCCGATCCAGAAAGGGACGCAACTGGTGAATCAGGAGGATCTGATAAAAAAAAAACCTGGCCACAGCCGTCACATGATCTTCTAGAGACAGCCGTGCATCCAGGAGGACACCCAAGTTACGAGCCCTCTCTGAGGGGGCTAAGATCTCACCCCCAATAGTCAGTGATGGAACCAGCTGGCTATAATGGAATGCCGGAAACCGCAGCCACTCGGTCTTGGAGGGGTTGAGTCTGAGCCTGTTTCTCCCCATCCAGATCCGCACGGCCTCCAGGCACTGGGACATCACTTCAAGGGCATCATTGGGGTGGTCCGGGGTGGAGATTTACAGCTGAGTATCATCAGCGTACTGATGGAACTTCACCCCAAAACCACGGATGATCTCACCCACAGCTTCACATAAATGTTGAACAGGAGGGGCGAGAGGACCAATCCTTGCGGCACCCCACAAACAAGGCGCCTCGAGGTTGACCTCTGCCCCCCTCCCAACACAGACTGCGTGTGGTCAGAGAGGAAGGAGGAGAACCACTGCAACATGGTGCCCCCTACTCCTAACCCCTCCAACTGGCGCAGCATGATACCATGGTCGACGGTATTAAAAGCCGCTGAGAGGTCTAAGAGGACCAGGACAGAGGAACAACCCCTGTCCCGAGCCCTCCAGAGATCATCAACCAATGCGACCAATGCCGTTTCTGTGCTGTAGCCAGGCCTGAAGCCCGACTGGTATGGATCTAGATAAACAGCTTCATCCAGGTACTGGAGAAGTTGTCGCGCCACCACACTCTCAACAATCTTCGCCACAAAGCGAAGGCTGGAGACTGGACGATAGTTCGCTAATACAGCCGGGTCCAGGGAAGGCTTCTTGAGGAGAGGTCTCACCACCACCTCTTTCAAGGCGGAGGGGAAGAAACCCTCACTCAGAGAAGCGTTAATAATCTCCTGGAGCCAGCCTCGTGTGACCGCCCTGGATGCCAACACCAACCAGGAGGGACACGGGTCCAATAAACATGTGGCAGCGCTAAGTCTACCCAGAATCCTGTCCACATCCTTGGGAGTCACAGGGTCAAGCTCCTCCCAGATAACACTCTCAAGACCCACCTCCATCTGAACCTACCCAGTCGGAGTCCAAGCCTTCCCGAATCTGAGCGATTTTGTCATGCAGATATTGCACAAAATCCTCAGCCCTGCCCTGCAAGGGGTCTTCCTGCGCTCCCAAATGAAGTAGGGAGCAGGTCACCCTAAACAGGGCGGCTGGGCGGTTCTCTGCAGACAAAATAAGAGCGGAAAAATAATTAGATTTTGCCAGTCTTATCGCCACTAGGTAGATCTTAATATGAGACCTCACCAGTGTTCGGTCAGATTCGGAACGGCTGGCCCTCCAATCGCTCTCCAGGCGTCTTTTCCGGCGCTTCATCTCCCTCAGCTCCTCAGAGAACCAGGGAGCCAATTGGGATCGGCACCGGCTGTGACTCACTTTATGACTTTGTAAACATGGTTGTAAAATAGTCTGGCCACGTGGTGCCTTGATTTATGACTGCTATGAATTACAATCAAAATTCCAGGCTCCAGGTGGTCATAAGTCAAGGACTACCTGTACAGCAGAATGACTTGGGGGCAGCAGTGGGAAATAACTCAGAGAGCCTCCTTCTCTCTCAGCCGTGTAACAGGAGCGGCCAAGTGGAGCAGCCAGAGTGAGATGGGGTGGGGTGGGGGGAGACACACACACTGCACCGAGTTGCCCCTGGAACCAAAGCAGCTTGAAGACCGAGAGGCCCCCCCTGGACACGAGTGTCCAAACAAGGACAACAGCCACTTCCTTCATGCCAGCCGAGCTTCACCCCCCCCACCCACCCCCGGCAAGATCCCACACAAAGGACCCACCCGATCCTGCTCAGAAATCAGCTCCTCTCCCCAGGCTGGCAAAAGCAGGTTGAGAGCAGCAGAGCCTTCTCCCCACTCCCTCCCCTCTGCTGCCTCCCCTCGGGCCCCCCAAGCGTGGAAAGAATGCGGAGCTGGACGCCCGCAAGCCAAGATCCAGCTGCTCTCTTGCAAGTGCCTGAGCGGATCCTTCCTAATCAAAGCCACGCTGTCAAGCGCCACAGAGTTTCGCTCTTAAAGAAAGAGCAACAAATAAGCCGTATTGCATGGAAATATTTTCTTTCACATTTGAATGCAATTAAGGGCTTTAATTGCAGGGCTGGGCGAGGGCGGCCTGTCCATTGCTCCATGACAGACGTTGCAGGGTGGAAAAAATCCGAATCCCTTTTGCGTTTACACGGCCTACCCGTTTGTCGCGTCTCTGTGGATCAGCGGAGCCTTTTGGGACGCCGGAGGGAAGACAGCTTGACTGCGGCCACCTCTGGGACGGGGCCAGCAGATGTTGAACTGCTTAGGGAGCAAGGAGGGAGGGAAGACTCAGAGCAAGAGAAGAGGGCGTGAAATGCTGGCTGTGGAAGGCGTAAAGTGGGAGGAAAACTTCACAAGCTGCTCAGAATAAAGAAGAGGAAAGGGGGAGAAAAGGCTAAAAGCTAGAGGGGAAAACTTGACATGCAAAGGGCTGGAAGCTAAAAAGCGATGCTGGAAGGGAGAGCTGCCCATGGCGGGAAGAGTTCAGAACGACATATAAAGAAGACAAGAAGATAAAAAAGACAAAGACTAATAAAAAAGGAACAAGGAGAACGGGACAGGACCAAGAAGGCCACAGCCCACCATGGGAGAGTAGGTGGAGTATAAGGAGAATCCTGACTTGAACTAGATGACCTTCAGGGACCCTTCCAGCCCTAGGATTCTATGAGAAGGGTGAACTCTTGGTGGTTGGCAAGTCAGTCCTTGGCCTGGATGAGGAAAAAGGCTGCTTCTTTACCTCGGCCTCCTCAGGACTTTGGCAATCGCTGTGGGACGAAGACATGGATCCGCCATTCAGCTGTGAGGGATGGAAAAAGGGGGCACATTTATCACAAGACATGGAGGGTGGCTGGGAAAGACCCCCCTTTATTGGTTGGAGAAAGCAGCTGGAGGGCTTTGCAAAGGCAGACACCCTGCTCAGTTAAAGAAAAAAAAAATTGAGACTCTTTGGGCAAGTGAAGAGAAAGGAAAAACAGGCCATGACCTTCTTTCAGAGACCTGGTTTGGGCTGCACACCAAGCCATGGTTTGTTGAACAAACCACACCAGGCTGACTTATCACATTCCGCTAGGACATCAGGTGAGGTTTAAAGGCTAGGCTTAGGTGTTCTGATTGTGCAAAGGCAGAGCAGATGTGCATTATTATGGCTCAACGTCATGAGGTTGAACTGGAAGAACCTGGGGTCCCTCACAGCCCCCAAAGGCAACGGTGCTCCAGTCAGCAATGGCCAGAGAATTCCTGTCACACGTCTAGAGATGGAAAGCAATCCTGGATCCATTTCAAAGGATCGCTTATGGCTCTCTGGCCTCAGGGCCAAAATCCCTGGGTCCTGCAAGGGGAGACCAAATGACCAAACTTGCCGGCTGGAGAAGTTGACTAGGACAGAATGGTTTCCAAAATGCTCCCCCCAAAAAGAACGACCAACGCTCAGCTCCGCTTACCTGTGTTTGCGCTGACCCATTCGTCATAGGTGGAGGAATTCCCCCTGCAGAAAATGCAGAAACAACGCCAATGAGCAACCGTTCCTGTGAAATCCCTAACCCCGTGCAGAGGATTGGCCCGCTCTGGGTCGGAGAGCCACCAATTCTGCAGCTTCCGGGGCGAGGACCCACCCAGAGTGGCAGGTTGCGCAGAAGAGCTCCACCTTGGGTCACAGCACAGGACAGCCCATGGTTAAGTGAGAACAGGTCACAAGGGTTAGTGCAGGGGTAGAGACCCACTGGTCACCTAGGCTGGGAAGTAACCACCAACCAGCCCAGAAAGAGGCCTGGGGGAGCCTCTTTCTGCAAGGAAGGACGCAGCTGTGTCCATACAGTCACCGCTCTTGAAATCAACTTGGGGGAGACTTTATTTTTGCTAGCGTGAAATGCAGAAAGGTTCTCTTTCTCCCATTCTGATCCCAACATAGACACACACGTGCTGGAACTGGGGAACTGATTCAAGTAGGGATCAGGCCCAGGGTTGGGTCAGGGTTGCTGCTCAGTGTAGTGATGGCCCTAATGTAGCTGGGTTTGTTAGCTATGCCAGGTGAGTTCGTGGGCCTGTCTCTGCTGAGAACTTGTAGAACATCAACCCCCATCAGCCAACTCAGAATGGGCAAAGCTCCAGGTTCTGGAATCCAACAACTCCCCAAACTGCAGGGAGCTCAGATCCATCCCATGGTGTCCTCCAAAATCTCACCTTCTCATTCTTCTGCTCCCATGAGGGGTCAGTGATCTGAACCCAGCCCAAACCCAACACTCTCTGCTACACCACAGAGGCGGAAAAAGGGGCATGCTGCCTGCTCCAAGGGCACATTAAGTGCCAAGGTGGCATCAGGCCAGTTGAACCAGAAGCAGCCTGCAAAATCAGGAGCTCAAACCTTCTTAATGTTGCAGGAAGCTTCCCTCTCCTCTCTCCCTGTGCTGACAACTCCCCTGAGGGCCCGGCCAACCCCTCCGCAGCCCCTTGCCCAGAAGAAAGAAGGGCCATATCTGAGCCTGGCCTGCAGCATTTGGAAAGCAGGTCTGGGCACTAGTGGTTTCTTCTGGCACTCTGCCTGCGTCTGCTGCTGCTGCTGCTTGCAAAGAGAACCGGGGGCTCCTTCTACGCGGAGCCAAGAAGAAAATATCTCCAATCCGTCTCTTGGTTGTTCCTGAGCTCAACATCTGACACCAGCCGCTTCCCTCCCTCCCCTCCCCCCACTGCAAAAATCTCCGAGTTGTTCTTTTGGAGTCTTTCTTTCCACTGAGAGCCAGAAAAGAGGGCAGGCAGCTTCAATGGGAAACAGCTGTGCTAAAAACACAGAGCTCTCCATTCAGCCTGGCTAAGCGGGGGAAGGGGAAGCTGGTGGTGGAATCATATAGGTTGGGTGGAAGGTATGATCTCCCTCCCCACCCCCACCCCCACCCCCAGGCAAGAAGGAGCCGGGAGTCTGTGTAGCTGCTGGGATCCAGTCCTCGCTCTGTTTGAGACCTGGGTCTTGCAAGTCCAACCTGCTGAAGGACAACCGGACACCCGCTGCAGCCCCAGGAGAGGGCAGGGTCAGCTGGGGGATTCCTGGGACACTTTTAAGTGTGGGAAAGGGAGGGGGCCCCTGGGAGGCCTATGGCTGTCATGCCCACTCTCAAAATGGAAAGATGGACATTTATAGCTGGGCAGCAGGGGCATCTGCCCAAGAGGGAGGTCAAAAAAGTCACAATGGCAGCTGCAATCATACAAAGTTCCATTCCTTTTCTAATGTCTGTTTGATACCTCATCCCCGCTCTCCCCAGGCAGATGGGTAAGTTGCCTATTCTAGTCTAAGAGAATTAGCTACGGATGCTTTCAAAATCTGTTTACTTCACTTGCGACCGCCAAGAGGACTTGCGGAAAATTTGGTTCCAGTTCTGTCCATGGAAGGTATCTGGCACTCCATGTCTGCCCTTCCGCCAGCATCTAATGGTGACATTCTTGATTTTCTTCAGCCACTTTACAACAGCTTTTCTGCTCAAAAGTGGGAAGGAGTGGGCTTAATTTACCTATAAAACACAGTTTATAGGTCCCCCTCTGGGCACATGTATCAGCTGCAGTTCTGGAAATGACAGGGCCTTTTAGAGTATGTAAGTGCTTGTCAAACATGGCAATTTCAAGATGTGTGGACTTCAACTCCCAGAAATCACTGCTGGGTGAGAATTCTGGGAGCTGAAGTCCACACATCTTAAAATGGCCAAGTTTTCAAAGCATTGGGTTATAGCCTGCAATTTCATTTCTCACTTCTTCAGGGCTGAGTCCTTAGAAATAGATTTGGCGGTTGAGGTTAACCTACAGGAGAGCGGAGGTGCCTTTTTTCAAGAACAGGCCCCTGGTGGAATCCCTCACCTCGAACGTGTTCTTCAGCAGGAGCGACACCACGTTTCTTGAAATGTTCATCTGTGGCAGGGTCCACTACTAGCAACCTCGTTTCGTTTTCCATAGACTTGATGTGGGCCACAACTTCTGAATGCCTCATGCCTTCCACGTTGATCCCATTGACCTGCAGGACAGCCAAACCAAAAAGGAAGAAGCTGGTAAGAAATGCACATTAGGGCAACACCAGAGAAAGTAACACTTAGAGTACAGAGAACTTCCATCGGCCACCCTTTTTTTAAAAAAAGTTTTTATTTCTATTTTTCATAAACACATTTACATGTACAGTCATTTTTCATTCATCTTTTCTTTTAACTTTCATTTTTCATTTTTACTTTTTCGGGGCTGCTCTTTTACCCATCAGCCACCCTGATGGGATTTTCTCTTCCCAAGACATCAAGTTCTCAAAGCATGCACTTATGGAACACTAAGGGGCTATTCGCTGTAGCTCACCAAACTGTGATTACATCATGTGCCATAATATACACACAGAGAGACTCAGGGAGGAGATTATGGGGCCACTGGAGGAATAGTGGTAAACCACCTGTGGTCCTAAAGAAGCAATTGCCCATCTCAGTGGCTACAAGCCATAATTACCTTGTTCACACCACTTCCTAATCAAAAACCAGCCAGCCCATGGCAACCCTGTCACACAATGTGAACTACGTAGCATGGAACATTATTTAAGTTCCAATGATTTTCTTGCTGCATCATCAACCCCAGCAAGAAGTGGGATGCCAGAACCCAAAAGAAAACCAGCTCCCAGCTTTAGTTTTCAGTGGCAAAAATATATAGTGTCTCTGTGTGTCTATGTCACACACATACAGTATATGCATATTATTTTATGCAAGACAAAGGATCAGACCAGCTCTGTAATGTTCAGAGGACTATAAATGAAGATGAAGGCAATATTTGCTCCAGGAGGCTGCCCATTTGTCAGGTGGGATAATGAAGCCTCTTTGTCCATGCGCAGAGGCTAAATAACCCCTCAGAGAGAGAGAGCCATATTCAGGAGCCAGAGGCTGGAGGCATTGCTTAAGCCCTGGGAAGGCAGAGAGCATTAGGAAGGGACTCGGGGTGACCCTTCTGTGATGGAAGAGGGATGGGGGGAGAAGCAGAATCAGGCCAGCTGTGGTCTTCTAGCCACGCTCAATCAAGTCGAGTTCTACTCATCCCATGGGAGGCGTTTCCGGATCTGGTCTACCTCACAGGGCTGACATTGGTATTAGCACACGATGCACATTATCAAAAACAGCAAATGCAGAGTAACGTATAACAAGTAACATGCTGTGAGGAGGGGAACAGAGGAGGGAAGATCTGTCAAATGAAGCTGAGCAGTTCCTGCTGTCTCCATTCCCAGGCAAGGCTACACCTGTTAAATGCCCACCACCTCTTCCTTGGGAGTTGATCCTTGGGAACACAGGTCCTGGAGTTGCAAATATCCACAAGATTCATTACTTATTGTGCTGATTCCAGCAAGACTTCATTCTTCTGGCCAACCCTCTCCCGGTCAGCCTCCATTTCCAGCCCACTCTCAATGGCTGCTCTGGCTCTCTCCCTCCCCTTTAAGTAATCAGTGGGGAAGGGGGGGCAGAACCCCTGCAGGTGCCCACAGAGCTCTCCAGACATAGCCCTGGAGACGCTGCCAACCTTCTCCCCTCCTGGCAACCTTGCGCTTGCAGTGTTTAAACAGGTGGCCTGGCGGGGGCTGCGGGAGGCTGAAGGGAGCTCGAAGGGGCCAAAAGAGCAAATAGAAGAAAGCCGCCCCTTCCTCCCTCCCTCCCTCCCTCCCCCTGCACCAGCCAAACACTCCCAAGTGGAGGAACAGCCCATCAAACATTGATGCCAGTCCTGAAGAGCAGGAGGTGCCTGGATTGGGTGGCACCTCCACAGGTCACCAAGTCCATTTATGTGTCTGGGAAATGCGCCAGGTGTGCTAAATTAATTATCAGAGGCCGATGGGTGAGGTATTGAGCAGCAGGAAAGGAGGACTTCTCTTTCTCTTCCCTCTCAGAAGTCCATGCACCCGCTTGGAGAAAAGGAAACAGTCCGAAAGAGCCTTTTCCGGGATGCCCCACAAGAATTGCCCCAGAGAAGGGCGCAAAGGGAAGAGGGTCTCTGCAGCTCAGGACTGAATTGGGGGGTTCTTGGTGCTCTCTGAGCTTGTGGTTTGCTTTCAGATGTTTCCTTACCTGACCTGGTTCCAAAGTTCTGACGGTCGCTCCCCCCTCCCCCCCAGTCACATGACTGCACTTTAAGCACTTGGCAATGCAGCCACATTTGCAGACCCCCCACACACAATCAGGTGACCATGGTTTACTATGGGTTAGCTGAATAAGGTAGTCCTTGACTTACAACCATTCATTTAACAATTGTTCGAAGTGACTATGACACTGAAAAAAGTGACTTATGACCATTTTTCACACTTACGGCCACTGCAGCATCCCCACGGTCATGGGTGCTTGGCAAAGGTGGGCATTTATGACGGTTGCAGCCTCCTGGGGTTGCGCGATCCCCGTTTTAACCTTCCCAACTGGCTTTTTTATTTATTTATTTATTTATTTGATTTATATGCCGCCCTTCTCCGGAGACTCAGACTTTTGACAAAGAAAGTCAACGGAAGTCAGATTTACTTAAAAAACGCATGGTTCACTTAACAACTGCAGTGATTGACTTAATGACTGTGGCAATGAAGGTCATAAAATAAGGCATAAGTCACTGAACAGCTGTCTTGCTTAGCAGTGAAAATTTGGGGCTAAATTGTGGTCATAAGTAGAGGACTATCTGTAACTTCTGGTTTTTGGCAAAACTATGCTACAGCAAAGAATGAGTTTGCTTAGCAGCCATGGCGTTCGTTTTACACGACTATGTTCGCTTACGGACTGCTGCAGAAAAGGTCATAAAAACGGATCAGTCATGAAAACGGCTCCTTTTACAACTGTCACGACATACGGCCCAGTAGTGGCTTCCACTTACCTTCGCTACCGGTTTGGAACTGTGAGCGTGCGCATGAGCACGCTCGTTTCACTCATATGCAGCACTTCTACACATGCGCAAAACCTTCTGCGCATGCCCAGAGCATCCGTGATGATGTCCGGGCGGGTGGGCGGAGCCTCCCACCACCACCACTACCGGTTCACCCAAACCAGGGTGAACCAGTAGAAATCCACCACTGATACGGCCGCAATGGGCAAGCTCCACTGCAGTTTTAGGTTGAAATTACCTGTACCAGGTTGTGTAACAAAACATCTACAAGCGAACCAGCCAGCTCAAAGAGCGCTCAGGGCCCCCCCCCCCAGGCAGTAGGGGGTTTCAATTTCAGCTGCTACCGGTTCACTCATGGGTGTGCGCATGCTCACACGTGCACGACGCTTCTGGCAGGCCTGGGCGGGTGGGGGGAGCCTCCCGGCGCCACCGCTACTGGTTCGCCTGATCCAGGGCGAACCGGTAGCAACCCATCACTGTCCCCAGGGAAGGCAGCCCCAGCCCAGGGTTTCCTCTGCTGGATCAGCTCCTGCTCGGGCTTCTCTCTCGGAGACGGGGATCCCTCGGGAATGGAGACTCGAGGGCATTCCCTCTGCCTCTTTTTAAACTTTTTAACATCCTCATTTTAACCTTGTTCTTCATGCTGTGTTTGTTTTTTAATTACGCTTTTTATACCTCTGTATGTTTTTATTGTAAACTGCAATAAAATAGATGAGATGGGCAGTGTGGAAATTTGATAAATGAATAAAATAAACCTGTAAAACCAAAGCTTTCACTTGATGCCAACTCTGGTTTTGGCTTCCTTTTGCCTATCCACTCGCTGAGGATGATGTTGTATAAACAGAGTGAGAAAATACACCTCAAACATGTCTTGCCACCTAGGAGTGGCAATAACATTCCCCTCCAAGAGGCAGGATCCTTCTCCTGCTTCCCAGATCCCCTCATTACCTCCACAAGTCTGTCTTGTGGCCGGAGACCCGCCTTGAATGCCGGGGAATCTGGATCCACCGAGCGGATGAACTGGCCAGGCCTGGACTTCTCGCTGTGCAGGTTGAACCCGTAGCCATTGGGCCCTTTCTTGAGGTGGCAAAGTCGGGGCCCCAAAGGATCCTTGGCCTGCCCATTCACATCCTGGGTTGGGGGGAAAAAGAGAAAAAGGCATTGTTTTTTCTTCTTTGGTAACAATAAGGAGCCCCATAGAAGCACCAAGCAAGACCTGCCCGCCCAAACGCCAGGAGGACAGAGTATAAATAGACTCAATGGGAGGAAATGTCTTGGATAAAATCAATTGTCCCATCCCATCCTGACAGAATACATCTGAGGGGCTTACTAAATGGCAAGAAGATAAAATTAGCTAGGCCTGATCAGCTCAACAGCAATTCATCCCTGCGCATTACGTGGAAGAAGAACCCCAAGAGACAAAGGTAGAAGCTCTCCCTTAAGCAAAATGGGGAAAAAGAGAAGGCATTTTTGATCCATCAGAGTAAGGGGAAAGACCTCCCTTCACTAGGCTGGTTTATTTTCAGGCATAGACCAAACTTCCACTGAACAATGAAATGCATAGAAAAACTGAATTATAAAAAACTACATACAGGGGTGCTATTCAGCAGCTTCTGACAGGTTCTGGAGAACCGATAGCAGAAATTTTGAGTAGTTTGGAGAACCGGCAAACACCACTTCTGGCTGGCCCCAGAGTGGGGTGGGAATGGAGATTTTGCAATATCCCTCCCCCAGGAGTGGGGATTTTGCAGTATCCTTCCTCTGCCACACCCACCAAGCCACGCCCATAGAACTGGTAGTAAAAAAATTTGAATTCCACCACTGACTACATATATTTGCCTTCTAACATGAAAAAATAATATACCTGATTTTGTTTATCCTCTAAGGGTCGTTATAGCCATCACAAATAAACACCAATGGGCAACTTCTTTGATTCTGCAGATTTATCTGCTAATAAACTACTATTTCTATTTGAGAGATTGATTAATTATTTTCAACAATGGCAGAGGCAGAAAATTCATCAGATTTAGAACAGGTGGATTCACCACCTAGAGCACCATCCCCTAAGCCTAATAAATCCAAAAAGGGCAGAGCCAGGACCAGGGATATGTCTGAACAACCCATGTCCAGGCAAGGGGACAGGCCTTCCAGAGAGGATTTACGTAGACATAATGCTCTTGAAAAACAGTTCAATAGAGCCAGACTGGCAGCTCAAGTTATACCTCAAAGAGAGGTTCAGGAGGTGATTTTACCTCAGACTACTGAAAAAATAATATATCCTGAGATAGATGAGGAAGCAATGATTTGGCAGCAGGAGGATTTACCTTCAGACAATCAAGGCTTGTCTATGACAGCTAAGCCTTTGAATACAGAAACCCAAAGCAGGGTCACTGTGGGGACAAATCAACAACCTTTTGTTAAGGCTGCTCCAGAGGCCACATTCACTCCTATGGCCGCTGGCCTACGTGTTGGTGAAGGTCTATTACAGAGTCAGAATGTGGATTTCCAGGCTTTACTCTCACAAACATTTTCCCGCATTTTTCAAGCGGGATTGCAACAATCAGGTCTATTATCAGAACCTATACCACCAACTTCTTACAATATGTCTCACAATACTATGCAACAGTCTGAATGAACTACTCAACGTTATAGCCGCGGTGGCGATTGATACCCCTAGACTTATGGTCATGGGGGACTTCAACCTGCCATCCGTCGGTGAGGCGTCTGAGGTGGCTCAGGAGTTCATGGCTTCCATGACGGCCATGGACCTGACCCAGTTAGTTCATGGCCCTACTCACACGGGGGGAAACACGCTGGACCTGGTTTTTGTCTCTGGTCAGTGGCTGAGTGGTCTCGAGATAGGGGATATAGCGATCGAGCCCTTGTCATGGTCAGATCACTCCCTCCTTCGCTTTGACCTTCGAACTGCCACACCCCGCTGCAGGGAGGCGGAACCGATGAGGTGGTTCCGCCCCAGGCGCCTGATGGACCCGGATAGGTTCCAGACGGAGCTTGGGCCATTTCCTGAGGCTCTGGCACACGGCTCGACTGAAGACCTAGTGGCTATCTGGGATAGGGTGGCCGCTGGAGCTTTGGACCGGGTCGTGCCTTTGCGGCCTCTGACCCGGCGTCGATCTCACCTGGCTCCCTGGTTCACCGAGGAGCTGAGGGAGATGAAACGCCGGAAAAGACGCCTGGAGAGCAGTTGGAGGGCCAGCCGTTCTGAATCTGACCGAACACTGGTAAGGTCTCATATTAAGACCTACCTGGTGGCAATAAAAGCGGCAAAATGTAACTATTTTTCCGCTCTTATTGCGTCATCAGATAATCGCCCGGCCACCCTGTTTAGGGTGACCCGCTCCCTGCTCCACCAGGAAGCGCGGAAGGACCCCTTGGAGGGTAGAGCCGAGGACTTTGTACAATATTTGTATGACAAAATCGCTCAGATTCGGGAAAATTTGGACTCTGACTGGGTAGATTCGGGAGGGAGGATGGAGGCAAGTCTTGAGAATATTATCTGGGAAGAGTTTGATTCTGTGACTCTGGAAAACGTGGACAAGATACTGGGCAGACTAAGCGCGGCCACATGTTTATTGGACCCGTGTCCCTCCTGGCTGGTGCTGGCCTCTCGGGAGGTTACACGAGGCTGGCTCCAGGGGATTATAAATGCTTCCTTGAGAGAGGGTGTCTTCCCTGCTGCCTTGAAGGAGGCGGTGGTGAGGCCTCTCCTCAAGAAGCCTTCTCTGGACCCAGCAGTGTTGGCTAATTACCGTCCAGTCTCCAACCTTCGCTTCATTGCGAAGGTTGTTGAGAGTGTGGTAGCGCGACAGCTTCCTCAGTACTTGGATGAATCGGCTTATCTAGATCCGTTCCAGTCGGGCTTCAGGCCTGGATACAGCACGGAAACGGCATTGGTCGCATTGGTAGATGATCTCTGGAGGGCCCGGGACAGGGGTTGCTCCTCTATCCTGGTCCTATTAGACCTCTCAGCAGCTTTTGATACCATCGACCATGGTATCATGCTGCACCGGTTGGAGGAGTTAGGGGTGGGAGGCACCGTGTTGCGGTGGTTCTCCTCCTTTCTATCTGATCGGTCGCAGTCTGTGTTGACAGGGGGGCAGAGGTCGACCCCGAGGCCCCTTATATGTGGGGTGCCACAGGGGTCGGTTCTCTCACCCCTTCTGTTCAACATTTATGTGAAGCCGCTGGGTGAGATCATCCGTGGTTTTGGGGTGAAGTATCATCAGTATGCTGATGATACTCAGCTATACATCTCCACCCCGGACCACCCCAATGATGCCCTTAAAGTGATGTCCCAGTGCCTGGAGGCTGTACGGATCTGGATGGGGAGGAACAGACTCAGGCTCAACCCATCCAAGACCGAGTGGCTGTGGTTTCCGACGTCCCGATATAGTCAATTGGTGCCATCACTGACTATTGGGGATGAGTCATTGCCCCCCACGGAGAGGGTTCGCAACTTAGGCGTCCTCTTGGACTCACGGCTGTCTTTAGAAGAACACTTGACAGCTGTGGCCGGGAGGTCTTTTTATCAGGTTCGCCTGATTCGCCAGTTGCGTCCCTTTCTGGATCGGGACTCGTTAAAAACGGTCACTCATGCCCTCGTCACTTCACGCCTGGACTACTGTAATGCTCTCTACATGGGGCTCCCCTTGAAGAGCACCCGGAGGCTCCAGCTGGTCCAGAATGCGGCCGCGCGGGTAGTTATGGGAGCAGCATGGCGCTCCCATGTGGCTCCCCTCCTGCGCGAGCTGCACTGGCTCCCTGTGGTCTTCCGGGTGCGCTTCAAGGTCTTAGTTACCACCTTTAGAGCGCTCCATGGCTTAGGACCGGGGTACTTACGAGACCGCCTTCTGCCACCAATAGCCTCTCACCGCCCAGTACGCTCCCATAGAGAGGGGCTTCTCAGGGTGCCGTCAGCCAAACAATGTCGACTGGCGGCCCCCAGGGGGAGAGCCTTTTCTGTGGGGGCACCCACCATCTGGAACGAACTCCCCCCAGAGATACAGAAGATTCCGGATCTGCGCACTTTCCGCCGTGCCCTCAAAACATTCCTGTTTCAGCAGGCCGGCCTGGGCTAACTTTCCCTTTATATTGCTTTTTGATTTTATTTTAAACTGGGATGTCTTGAATTATCTAGGACCAGAATGTTTAGTATATTTTAATTGGTTTTTTATTATTAACGTTTGTATTACATGTATTTTTATCGTTCGCTGTTCACCGCCCTGAGTCCCTTAGGAATAGGGCGGTATATAAATTTAATAAATAAATAAATAAATAAATAAATAAAATAAGGAGGAGGCCTCTTCTTCCATAGGGCAGCCACAGTGATCAGCAAGGAAGGGGGCTCCTGATTCAGAGCAGCAAGCATGAGACCACTAACAGTTCAGCAAAAGCACTGCATGCACACTCCATGGGTTGCTACCGGTTCAGTCTGGTTCTTGCGAACTGGTAGTAACGGTGGCAGGAGGCTCCGCCCACCCGCCCAGATGTCATCACGGACAATCTGCACGTGCGTGCTCCCATTGCAAACCGGTAGCAAAGGTAAGTGGAACCCACCCTTGAAGTACAGCCTTCACATGGAGTGGATCTGATCCTAGATGGCTCTTCCAGAACTGCTATGGATGGAGCATTGAACCCAGGAAGCATAAATGTTTTGCAAGGAGCAGAGAAACAAATAGCCAGGATCAGAAATGGGTCTTTGAATCGAGAACTTTGCCCACTCTGGGTCTCCACTCGTTGGGGCCCCCAGTTCTCCTCCTCCCACCCTGCTGTGAGCAACACTCTGCAAGTGACTCAGTGTAGCTTTCTCCCACTTCCATTCAGACTATAGTTTACAATAGGATTAAAATGTAGTTTAAAAAAAATAAAGAAAATATCTAAAGCTCCCTCTACAAGAAAAGCAAGAAAAATAGAAAATCCACATCCATTGAAAAAACTAACACACTGTGTACCTCTTGGCCTGACAGAAAAGAGGAGGCCAGTTCTCAGCCATCAGTCTTAATTATCTAAATGTCAGACATACGGATTAGATCCACACATGAAGGTTCAATTAAACTGATTTATTGCCTAAGCCTCTGCACAGAAATCTTCTTAACTAAAGTCAGCACCTG